TTTGTTTTTTTACATTTAAAAATGGACTGTATTTACAGGACACAGGTCTTGGAAACCTCTATGTCTTCAATCCTATCTTTGGCAAGAAGAGTCAAATTAGTGTCCCTGCCTTACCCAGACCTGTCCTTCAGACCCTGCTGCTGCCTGTCATTGACCAGGACTATGCTAAAGTCCTTCTACTTATTGATGACCAGTACAAGGTGGGTCTCCGTTCTTCTGACAAACCTTCTGTGTTCCTTGGAGAATGCGAACCTATTTATTTTCCCATTAAGGTCACAGCATTTCCATCTACAAAGAACGTTCTACAGCAGCTTCAGGACACAGCATCCTCCATATTCTTCTACCTAGTGGATTCTAGTCAGGGAAAACTGTCCGGTTTCCGTCTGCGCAAGGTTAGCGTCCATTCATGCAAAGCAGATGTAAAGCACTTTTGATGCTAGTGTTCATAAAAGATGTTGTTCCTTTAGGATTTGTCTACAGAGGTAATCTGGGAGGTGGTCATCCCCACTGAGGTGCAGAAGATAGTGGCTGTCAAAGGAAAGCGTGCAAATGAACATGTGCATTCCCAGGGCAGAGTCATGGGGGATCGTAGTGTGCTCTACAAGGTACTGCTGATTCGATGACTGCTCTTTTTGGGCAAAAGTAATTACACTCTTTTTTTTTAATCACATATCCTACCTGTTGTTCTTCTGCAGTATCTGAACCCTAATCTCTTGGCTGTAATAACGGAAAGCACAGACACCCATCAGGAGCGGAGCTTTGTTGGAATCTTCCTGATTGATGGTGTCACTGGCCGTATTGTGCATGAAGCGGTGCAGCGGAAAGCCAGAGGACCTGTTCACTTTGTACACTCTGAAAACTGGGTGGTGGTAAGTGCACAAATGTATCCATCCATTTATCCATTATGATTACTGTGATGGATATAAATGTTTCTGGTACAGAATTTGACACTACTTTTTGTGTTTATTCCCTATAGTATGTGTTCTGGAATTCCAAGTTCCGCAGAAATGAGTTTTCTGTGTTGGAGCTCTTTGAGGGAGCGGAGCTCTATAACAGCACAGTGTTCAGCTCCCTGGACAGACCACATCCACCTCAGGTTCTGCAGCAGTCGTACATTTTTCCTGCTTCCATAAACACTTTGGAAGCCACACTTACGGAAAAGGGCATCACCAGCCGACACCTTATTGGTTAGTATTGTGCATATCCAGCAGTTAGGAATCTTCAAATACTGACAGTTATTTTATTTTTTAATATCTATAAGATCAAAGTCTTATGAAAAATATCAGCATTCTCATATTAATTCTGTGTGTTACTTTTACTTTATAGTCGGGCTGCCATCAGGCAACATTTTATCCTTACCAAAGATGTTTCTGGACCCAAGGAGACCAGAGGTGGTCTCAGAACACAGTCGGTGGGTTTTCAACTAATATTTACTATGTTGGGAAATATCACATACGATTCAGACTTTGATTAACAATTTGCTTGCTGAGTAACCAAGCTGAACAATGATTGTCTCACCATTTAGGGAGGAAAACCTCATACCATATGCTCCAGAAATGCCCATTCGTGAAGAGTGGTTTATAAACTACAACCAAACTGTGTCAAGAGTAAGGGGCATCCACACTGCCCCCTCTGGCCTGGAGTCTACCTGTTTGGTAAGAGTGATGGTTTAGTCCATTTTTTTTTCCTTTTTTTTTTTCACAATATTAAATACCTTTTTGTTGGTAGGGTTTGTCTTAATTTGAAGGGATAGTTCACCCAAAATGAAAATTCTGTCATTAATTACTCACCCTCATGTTGTTCCAAACCCGTAAGACCTTCGTTCATCTTCGTAACACAAATTAAGATATTTTGATGAAATCCGAGAGCTTTCTGACCCTCTATAGACAGCCATGCAACTACCACATTCAAAGCCCAGAACCGTAGAAAGGACATTGTTAAAATAGTCTGTGACATCAGTGATTCAACTGTCATTTTATGAAGCTATGAGAATACTTTTTATGCGCAAAGAAAGCTCTTGGATTTCATCAAAAATATCTTAATTGGTGTTCCGAAGATGAAAGAAGGTCTTACATGTTTGGAACGATATGAGGTTGAGTAATTAATGACAGAATTTTCATTTTGGGTGAACTATCCCTTTAACATCCATGCCAATCTCATTACATGAATGAAATGCATTTAATTTCTTCACCCTGTAGGTGGTTGCGTATGGTCTTGACATCTACCAGACCAGAGTGTTCCCCTCCAAGCAATTTGATGTCCTTAAGGATGACTACGACTATGTATTAATCAGCAGCGTACTCTTTGGCCTCTTCTTTGCCACCATGATCAGCAAACGTCTAGCGGAAGTGAAACTGCTCAATAGGGCATGGCGATAAGACTCATCCTGATGGCCTGTTGACTTCACTCTCGCCCTCACTGCAATGTGGTCGACACATTGATGGCAGGAGACTAGCTGGTGACCATGTCAAAACTGCAAGATCATTTGATAAGTTTGGTGTATTTTTGCAACCAGCTGTCTTAGGGATCTTGTGGTGTTTTGAGTGTAAGTGCATAGACGGCCATAATAGTTTTTCCCTTTTCAGAGAGAGAAGTAATGTAGGTATAATTTTCCCCCCCAACATTGATCAATTCACTGTCTAATTTATTTATTGTGCCTTTCGGGGTAACATAACTCATGTGATTTAAAGGTAGACTCACCAGGTGTATAACATAATACCCGTCCCTTTTATTCATTTCTTTTTTTTTTTCATTATAGATTTCATTCAGTAAGTCTGGGTCTGCCTTTTGAAGAAATTGTGTTATTTTGAAAATTAATACTGAGGGAAGGAGTATTGCAAAAGGACTGCCATTTTTATTTAAATCAATGAAAAGATTGAATAAAAAGATTGGGTTTTAAATTTGATATGATCTGATGAGCTATTGAAGAATATATTGCCTTGTGTACAGGATTTGAATGGGCAAACACTAGTGCACATGAGAACTGTGAAATTGTTTTCTCCTGTACATTAATGATAGAAGGTTCTGCATAGGAGTTTGGATAGTCTTTTGTAGTTATTTTATGGTATGTCAAATGCACTGGATGGTTTGGAGCCATGTTCTTACTTGATATATTTATGAGCAAGATCCTAATATGCCATATCATACTTTGATTTTGACTTGTACACATTACAAATCCTTGTGATTTTACTATTGTGTAAAATGTTTCTACTCTTTTGATTTTCGTAAATAATAGGCCTGTTTATATACATAATTTTGAAAGCATCCCTGCTGCTGCAAATTAATGATGTCAGAAAAAATTAGTTTAATAATAATATTTGTAACAAAAGAGTATACATTCAATTAAGTTGGTAACAAACCTAATGCTTTTTTAAACATGCATAAATTATTTGTTCTTTTCCCCTAATCAATAATAAAGAATATGCCCTTCCTAATTACAGACTCTTGAATCGTTTTGAAAATTTAATATAGAACTGCTGCAGTTGTGGATAGTCTGGGCAATACCAGTTGAAATATTTTCTGGTTGCATCATTAAAGGGATCATTCATCCAAAAAAAAAAAAGTAAATTCTATCATCTTGTACGCACCATTATTTTGTTAAAAACTTGTATGACTGACTGACTTCTGCAGAACACAGATGATATTTTGAAGAATTTTGGAATACAGTTTAGTTACCACTGACTTCAATTGTATAAACAAATAATTTTGACATGTAGCCTACAATTTGTATGATTTTGGATAATATTATAGGGATAGTCACCCAAAAAAAAAAAATCTATCATAATTTATTCACCCTCCTGTCATTACCAACCTCAATGACTTTTTTCTTCAGCAGAACACAGAAGATGATATTCTGAAGACTGTTGGGACCCTAACAATTTTGGTTATAGTTGACTTCCATTGTATGGACAAAACATGATGGCATTTACAAAATATTATTACTTATCTATAAGGCCCTTAATGGGTTAACTCCTGTGTACCTAACTAGTCTTCTACCACGCTGTCGTAAATAAACAATAGATAAGGTTTGTAAACTCATGAGTAAAACCGTTAACCACAGTTCTATATATATATTTTTTTAATCTCAGAAGGTTTCTACGTGCGCACATGACATAACACACAAGACTTTTCATGTTTATCTCTGACGACAGTTCCTGTTATTTGGCGTCTGATGATTAACCTCATTTCCGCTCTTGGATTCCAATAGAGGATCTCAAGATGGCGTCGAGTGGGGGAGATGGAGAACCTGAGTGGACCGCAGCCGTACGGCCACTTTTATGTTTTAGGGGGGCGTGGCAGAGTCTTAACTTTGATAAAGAATATCTCTTTAGTTTTGAGACTTTAGTCTTTGCAACTTCAGGGATCTTATCTATGCACAATCAGCTTGTAACACTCCAAAGAGAAAGGAAAACTTGAAATCGCATCATATGATCCCTTTAAAACCTTAAACAGCTTTTGTGATGTATGTTGTTGTTACATTTAAATCTGAAAGCAATATCAAAGTTCCCCATAAATGTTCCGTCAGTCAGATAAGGTCATGCATTCCTACTCCTGTGAGTTTATCTTACAAAGAAATTCCCTTTTGTGCTTTGGAATTTGTTTTTCACCTTTTATTGCTAACTAGTTGTTACATGCTCGCTATAGGAGAGTTTATATGTTTATCTCTGCAAGAATCATGTAGATTGCTGGATGGAACAACATTTTGGGAGTTCTTTAGTTATTTTAGCTTCTGTTGGGAATTTCAACATGAAGTTAACCGTAATTATTAATTTATGTTTCCATTCTTATTGTCAGTGTTTGTTTCAACAGAAAACATTGTTTGTCTTCATAATCTTTCATTAGAACATAATAACTTGCTTTATCAGTAATGATTTAGCTTTTCCTTCTACGTCAGAATGGTCAGATCATGCAAAGTACTAGATAATATTATTAACCAATAGCCAAATAGCTGTGTAGGTATTGGTTTAGCACACTTTCATTCTGATGCACACTGACTTTCACAATTCAGTCAATTCCTGATGGATAATCAAGTCCTGTCTTGAATTTGATCTAATTAAATACTTGGTTTCACTTGAAAGTATTACATTACAGAAGTTAAATGAGATGCAAACTGCAGTTTACGTTGATTTCAGCGGTTTCCCTCTTCTTTTTTTCTACAGTGAATCTGAGATTCTTCACCATGACAAACAGTATGAGCCTCGTGCAGGGCTGAAATAAACTGTTGAGTGACTGCATTAGCTGTGATGCTATGGCAGCACCGAGGCTGTGTCTCAAAACCTAGTCAGCTGACTACCTTCACAGCATTTCGGGGCATCGTGAGAGGGTTTGGACGATTCCAAATGCGCTTATGATGTCCGAAAATGCTCTTTTAAAATGCTTTCGGTGGCCAAAAATGATTTTGAATCGTCCGGGTTTGTATATGATGACTAAATGTGCCGTCTACGAATGCAGCTTACTGTGTTTTGAGACAGAGCCGGAGTGTTACTGTGCATTTACAGTAGCATATACATAAGATTCTGCTTCATCATCAGGCCGGAGACCCACTCTTTTACGTTCAACTTGGTTTCACTTGGAAGTATTACATTACAGAAGTTAAATGAGATGCAAACTGCAGTTTACGTTGATTTCAGCGGTTTCCCTCTTCTTTTTTTCTACAGTGAATCTGAGATTCTTCACCATGACAAACAGTATGAGCCATTCTACTCCTCTTTTGTGGCACTATCTGCACATTACATCACCACAGTTTGTGGACAAAGTATGTCACATTTCAATGTTTTATTCTAAAACTGTAATTTCATTAATTTGTAGCTGAAATTCATATTTCTAGCTAAATATAGGCATACACAGGTTTAACTGGCTATTAAAAATGTTCCCAATTATCGTTCCCATTTTATTTTGATTTTGATTTTTTACAATTTTCTGTCCCATTTCAGTCCCCAGAAATCAGTTGCTGTCAGTAGCTGCAGCATGTAAAGTATTGATTGAATTCTCATTGCTCCGTCTGGAGAATCCTGATGAAGCATGTGCAGTCTCTCAGGTCAGATATGAACCTTGGTGTAATACATTTTGTCTGTTAGCATTTTCTCATAGACTAACTTCCTTTCTCCTTCCGCTCCACAGAAGCACCTGATCCTCTTAATAAAAGGCCTTTGTACTGGCTGCAGTCGACTGGATCGGACAGAGATCATCACCTTTACTGCAATGATGAAGTCAGCCAAACTACCCCAAACTGTCAAGACCCTTTCTGATGGTAATAGTAGTTTCAGATTGTCACAGCCCTGTGTTACCAGATAAATGAGCTGTCTAGTTCATGTAAAGGCAACGTGAAATGTCAGGATTGGTGTAATGACCTGTCTTTATAGATGTAATCTCTATGATTTAGCTAGATATTATAGAGCCAGGATGGGGATGAATGTTGAGAGTCTTGCTTGTAAATTCAACATAGCTGTTCAGAAATAAACAGCATTAGGTGTTGAAAGTGTTTCATTTGTAGGATTTTCTTGTTTGCTTTCCCTTTTGCCTTGTAATTAAAGGCTGATAATATCCAGTGTAGACTGGCTCAAATAATTCTTACAGGTCTAGTTGTGCTGAATTTTGAAGGACCAGGGAGACCTTTATGTTGTTATTGAAGTTCCAATAGTATGTAAATGTGGAATTTTAAAGGGACAGATCCCATGTGGACAGATTGCCTAAGTTCTCTTTAATACATTGTCTTGCAATGCTGATGCAGTTCAGGCAGTACACCGATGTGTCATAACTATATTTTTCCTCTTTACAGCTTGTTATCTGCTGTACACAAGAATTAATGAAGCATCATTTTCTTGTGTGCCTGCTTTGCTGCTCATTTGATTATTGTGGCTAATTAGAGGCTCTCTTGTGAGTTTTACTCCGTTTAGATCAAGTCAGGAGGGAACTGTTCTGTTTAGTAATTTAATTCTTTAACACATTAGTAAGCCATTCTTTTAGTGTGCTAATTTAGTACTATTAATTATTAAAAAAGGGAACATTTAAAAATGAATGGAATTTAGTCAGGCCTCCTGACCTGTGCATAAATTCTATTTTATGGAATTGTCCTAATTTGGGGGCAATTCTCAGCAAATATTTTTTTATGATTGTATGCAATTAATTTGATTCATTAAACGGTGCATCAAGCCCTGCAAATTAATCATGAAATCTAAACAAGTAACTGGTGGCACAGATTAGTCCAGACAAAGCATTGTGTTATCTGAGTGTATTAAAGGGGTCCTATTATGCTCTTTTACAATGTCTTGAATGTGTTTTGGGGGTGTACTAGAACATGCTCTCATGCTTGGTGGTTCGAAAAACGCATTATTTTTTATACCTTTCTCCCCATCCTGGCACAAATGGCTCGATTAGTTCCGGGTTTGATGAACGCCCGCCTTCCGAAGATTACATCATTGTCCAGTATTGTACTGTCAGCAATTTATTATAAAAACTTTTTCATAATTGTAACATATGTATTTACATAATTATTCAGGTGCATGTGTAATAACTTGCGAAAACGTGAGGCTACAGTAAACCGCATAAACACATTTCATTACACCAAATACACAAAATAATGTTCTTTTTAGCAGCATCATATGACCCCTTTAACTTTTTTTCTTTGTAAGTGCCAGGCTGGCAGAAAGGAAGCTTTGTTCTCTTTCCTCTGTCAGAGAGGATTCGAGATTGTCCAGAATGGATGAGATTCTGTCTGCTGATATTCTGCTATTGCCTTTGGTGCTCTTGTTTTCCAGTGGAGGACCAGAAGGAGCTTCCCTCCCCTGTTAACCCTGAACTCAGACAAAAAGAAGTCCAAATGAACTTCTTCAATCAGCTGACCTCAGTCTTTAACCCTGACATTACCATGCTGGCCTCTCCATCCGCTCACATGCAGGTCGGTGAATTAGACAAGTCTTTCGATTGAGTTCACGATGATGTGACCACTTCTGGGTTTACTGCTGTTTTGTAATGAGCAAACAGATGTTTTTTGGACAAAACCATGATGTCATGTGTTTTACAGGGTGAGAATGAGTGTGATGACCAGACAACAGATCAGGCAACGCAGGCCAAAATGAAGAATGCCTTCATCTCTCAAAATGTGTCCAGTTTACAAGAATTAGGTGAGTTGCACTTGCACTTTATCAGTGGTTCTTAAATGTTTGATTTCAAATACCACCCGTTGAAATGAAGTTGAGTGTATTTGGTTACACAGTGAAAAAAAACCTTTATTTTTATCCCATGCATTACAGGGGGCTCAGAGAAGTTGCTGCGCGTGTGCCTCAACCTTCCCTACTTCTTACGGTATATCAACCGCTTCCAGGATGCGGTATCCGCCAATTCTTTCTTCATCATGCCGGCCACTGTGGCAGACGCCACCGCTGTCCGAAATGGGTAAACCAAAGTCACCCTCAGCTCACTGCTGTTTATTAAATCTGTTGAGCTTGAGTAATCCTGACTTTCCCTCCCTGTGTTTCAGTTTTCACTCCCTGGTGATTGATGTGACCATGGCCTTGGACACACTTTCCTTGCCTGTACTGGAGCCTTTGACCCCTGGGAGACTACTTGATGTGACTGTGTTAGCACTAAGCTGCCTCTATGCAGGTGGGTTGATTGAAAAAGCTCCTTTTGTCTAGTTCAGATATACACAGAGAGCTTCAGGAGTGTTTTTTTTCTCTCAGGTGTGAGTGTGGCAACTTGCATGGCCATACTGCAGGTGGGCAGCGGCTTGCAGCTTCGTTCGGCCTCCACTGGCTCCAAAGAGGAAGACTATGAAAACGATGCTGCTACTATCGTGCAGAAATGCGTAGGTGTCAGTAGTCAAGATGACAGTTTTATTGTCTTTGGTACACTCCTCATCTTACACTTTTCCTCTTTTCAACAGCTGGAAATCTATGAGATGATTGGACAGGCCATCAGTAACTCTCGCAGAGCTGGAGGAGAGGTAGGTGAACACTTTGCCACAGAGTATATAACATTAATGAGAACGGCCCGTGTCTAAGATCGTGCTTCATGTTTTGACAGCATTATCAGAACTTTCAGCTCTTGGGTGCCTGGTGCCTGTTGAACAGTCTGTATTTGATACTGAACTTGAACCCCACGGCCCTGGCTGATAAAGGGAAGGAGAAAGATCCCCTGGCAGCACTACGGGTCAGAGACATCGCCACCCGAACCAAGGACGGAGCAGGATCTCCTAAACTTGGCCCAGGGAAAGGGTAAGTGCCTCTGTGTTCTGTACTTGAAATGATGACCTAATGAATGTGGGTGCGTGAAATATAAGAGAGCCCTAAAATGCATGTACCAAGTTCTTAGAAATAGTCTGTTCATGTTAGTTTTAAAAACATTCAGTTGAGTGACTTCTATGTAAATGTCATGTGGTGTGATGATCAACTAAAAAGTTGCAACCTATTTCTGTTACATCTTGAATTCATGTGAGAGAAAGCGGCTTAATCATTATTTAAAAAAATGTGTTTTATTTATTTTATATATGTGACTGTGGACCACAAACCCATAAGGGTCTTTTTTTTTCTTTCTTTTTAAAATTTTTTTTTATTAGATTTATACATCATCTGAAAGTTGAATAAATAAGCTTTCAATTGATGTATGGTTTGTATGGATAAGATATTTGACTGAGATGCAACTATTTAAAAATCTGGAATCTGAGGGTGCAAAAAAGTGAATTATTAATTTATAAATAAAGTTTTTGGGGAATTCGCACCACATTTTACAACGTAATCTTGCCTTGTTATTTTAAGAGGTGTATTGACCTCGACACTTTAATGATGGTCTGCAGGGATCCTCTGTACATTATTTCCTGATTTCTTTTTTTTTTTCTCTGCTTGTTGGTAGCAAAAATTGTATACAATTTTATGCTATAATATAAAAATTTTACATTTTATATAAAAAAAACAGTTTTATTTAAAATATTTTTTCATTTTATATTTTCTAAATGATTATGATATCAGGACCGTATCATTGTCATTTTTTACTTTATGTACCCCAAGCAATATCAAATTTTTAATACAGAAATAAATTAAACATAATAGGTGAAATGTGTTGAATGTGTGAGTTGCATATTTTGTGTATTTTAGATTATTAAAAAAATGCCAGATGTAAGTAAGTGTGTCAGTAAATGTGAAGTATTTTCTCTCATCAGGCACCAAGGTTTTGGGGTTCTGTCAGTCATTCTGGCCAATCATTCAATCAAGCTGCTCACATCACTGTTCCAGGACTTGCAAGTGGAGGCTCTTCACAGAGTAAGACTGAACATAACTGCTTCTTTTAAACTACCGGAGCATTTTTGTGTTGTAAATGTAAATACGAGTGAAGCTGTTTTCTGTCTTTCAGGGCTGGGCCAGTGACGGGCCTCCAGCAGAGCTGAACATCATGGCACAGAGCACGTCCATACAGAGAGTGCAGAGACTCATTGACTCGGTCCCTCTCACCAATCTGCTCTTCACGCTGCTCTCCACCTCCTATAAAAAGGTATGTGACCACAAGACTTGATCATGGTTGCTATGAGGAAGTGGTCTGTTGTGTTTGATGAATGTGGTGCCTCTGGTTCTGCTTGATTCAGGCGTGTGTGCTGCAGCGGCAGAGAAAAGGTTCGGTCAGACAGCCGATGCCGATATCTTGGAAAGCAGGGTGGCCGATATAATTATTTATTTTAATTAATGTTTAAGAAATTTGAGATCATTTGAAATTGGATTAAAAAGTAAATGTGTTAAATAAACATACTTATACTTTAGATGACAAAGTATTTTTCACAAATAAATCAATATTTGATAAAAAATAATAAAAAAGTACACTGTACTGTAAACACTGTAACCAACAGGGACTCAGTATTCTGGGAAGTTTGTGTGCA